TTTACCAACCTTTGTGTAGACCACTGAAAGGCTGAGATTAGTTAAGACTTGAAGGAGATAAGAAAGTGAGAATGCAGATATTTAAAAATAGGGCATTCTGGGCAAAGGGGACAGTCATTGCAAGGTTTTGAAGACAGGGACATGCTTGTTGTATTTCAGGTATAGTCTACAATTGTGACCAGAACAGGTTGAGTGAGAGAGAAAGGGAGATAGGAGATGAGGGAGGAGAGGCATGAAAGGTGAGATTGTAAATTGCCATTTAAAGACTTTGACTTTTACTCTGAATGAAAAGTTGAGGCACTGGTGGACTTTGAGGAGAAGAGTGATTTGATTTATTTATTATCACAGATAACAATGACAGCTTCTTACACCTGAAGGGAGAAACCTTAAAAGATTGTCTCTAGGTCTCTAGTCCCAGCCTTTGAAATAGGTTTAAACCTAGAGAGCCACCTCAATCAGAGGTGCTTGCTATGTTGGCAAAGATTCTGAGGCCAAAGCCTGTCTTAGCCAGAAACCCTTTGCTGGTCAATGAGCAATGCCTGCCCCAGTGTCAGGATGTTGGTTGCCATGTGTTTATGTCCCTCATCTAGTCTAACCACCTTTCCCTCATCTGGACACATCGATCTTCCAACAGGTGACATGACTTACTGATATCATCACCCAATTTATTTCAGGACTTCTGACCCCTAGAAGAGTGATATTCATTATATCTCGGTCCTTCTCCTTTTCAGTTTTTACACTTAAAGCAGTGCTCATTACATTTCTTTCCTGGAAATTGAAAAGATATTAAAACAAAAAGATCTTGTGGTGATAAGGAATATCAATGCAAATTTTATGTCCTTAAATTTATATAAACTTCCCAGTTTTTTAAAGCACTTTTATCTTTACCTTTGTTGAAGCTCAAAATGGCCCTATGAATCCTTAATAATCCCATAAAACGATCTGAGAGCCATGAACATGCAAGCGCAGGCTTTCCAGCCACTCTTAACTTCAATTGCATTTGCCAGTGATTATGGAGGTTGTTTTTTTTTTTTTTTTTTAAAAAAAAAAGAACAATTACATCTATAAAATTTAGTTTAAAATTGTTACTTTAGTTATTTCATAATTTTTACTAAAATATTTCTTAGTGCAAGTAGAGCAAAAGTAACGAAGGACCAAAGGTTCTAAAATGTTCAATGATAAGCTTAAAACTGTCATTCTTTCTGTGCATTGTGGGGAAGAGGAGGAGGAGTCTGTGCTGAGCTCCTGTGATGACTAATGAAATTTTTATTCCTTTCAATAAGAGCTTCAACAATTAGGCTGTGTTATAATGAAATGTTCATTTGTCCAAAGTCTGATTCCTGGTCCATCAATACCTCTTTGTGAGAGGTGCACCCCTAAAATATGCCTTTGTCTTGAGTGGAATGCAACCAGAGGCGTTTAGTGTAAGGAGTCTCAGTAAAGCAGCCTGAAATGCACAATGGGGCCTCAGAGAAGCTAAAATTAAAATGCGTACATATATTTTTCCGTACCATGTGCCATTCATTACCTGCCTAAAAGATTATATAAAACAATGGGGAGTAAAACTTCACGTTTTAATATGATCATAAAGAAATGTTTAAAAATCTAAATAATAAGTCAAACATTCTCAGCAACATGTAAAGGACATCTGGAAACTTATTTTTTTGTTGTGTATGGTTAAAAGACTTCAGTTCAAAATGATCTAAATGATTTTAAATAGTCTATGCTTTCCTAGAAATATTTTCACTTTATATTCTGATGAGAAGTATTCACTTTTTTCCCTTATGTTTCAAATGCAGCTCATACCAACTGGGATCTATTTTCTTACTTTCTTGTTCATTTCCTTTCATTAATATTTAATATTTAGGGAGAACCAACAAAATGTTGGATCAGTATTAAATATGACTTTAGTCATAGTGGTCTCAAATTTCCAATGCGACAGAAAAGACCACGTATTTATAAAGAATCCACATAGAGCAGAGAATGGAAGCAACGTGATGAATATCTTGGGGATTTACATCACTATATGTTGTTGCTTTTAATGGACTATTTTAAGCTGATAACAACTTAACTTTTATCATCTACAAAAACTCACCTACAAAAACTTTGTAGGTTTTTATCACCTACAAAAACCAGATCCAGTGTCTGGTGAGGGCCTGTTCCTCATAGATGGTGCCTTCTTGCTGTGTCCTCACATGAAAGAAGGGCAGAAAAGGGGTGAACAGTGTGTGCCATCACCTGGCAGAAGAAATGGAAGGGCCACAAAGCTCTCTGAAGCCTCTTCTATAAGGACATTAATACTATTCATAAGGGCAGAGCTCTCATGGCCTGACCACCTCCCAAAGACAACACCTTTGGGTTTAAGTTCCAACATATAAATTTTGGAGGGACACATACAATCAAAAACTCTACACTTTTACTACTCCGCTCTGGAGTGGGCATGTGTGGTGCCATCACAGCCCCATGTCTGGGGCGTGAACAGGACTGGCAAGGTGGCAGTGCCTGGCCCAAGTAGCACAAGAGCAGCTCCTTCTGGAGGACGGGGCAATGCAGCAGCATCACCTGCCCCAGGTGTCTGTGGCAGCAATGGCTGTTGGTTCCATCAGTGGGAAATGCTGTCCATGTCCTCTGCAGAGCGGGCTGCTATGGATTATGGTCATACCCATTGCATGCCTAATACTGATAGCCTCCACCCTTCTTTCTTCCTAGATCTCTCCAAATGTCTCAGGTATGCAATCTCTCCAGCAACTCTTTCTGTGTGATAACTCTCTCATTTTCTGCTCCGCTGTGTTGCCGTAGATTCTTAATTGGACTTTTGAGTCCTTCCGGAGCTATTTCTGTTCAGGGATAGCTGTTCAATTGTTATTGTGGAAGGACAAAGGCTGATATTTCATACTTCATCATCTTGCTGACTTGACTCTGCTCAACTATATGTACTATACTTTAGATTGTTTTTTTTTCTGTTTTCCTTAATAGATTATAAACTACTTCATAAGGATAATATTACACACACACACACACACACACACACACACATACACACATATAGTCAACCACAGTTCTTGGTAAGCGATAGGGACTCTATAAATGCTGAGGTTTATCTCATATAAGCACTAGCTAGAAAATATATTTGGGACGTTGAGGAACAATCTCAATCTTGGGGACTCCAACTCATCATTTATAAAATAAAAAGTTTATTTCCATAAACTTACCAAAAGAACTCTCTGAGCAACTGATTCTTTTTCTGGCTAGAGCTCTAGGAAGATGTCTCTGGGGTTGGTGGGGTTCCTGTGTCCCTGCAGCTTGCTCAGTCTGAGTAAGAGTGACGACAAGAAATACCAGCATCCTGCAGCTAGACCTCACCTCCCTGGGATAACATTTCTTCTTGAGTATAGTGACTCAAATTTATTCAAATAGCAATGGCATCCTGATGTCATGTAAATTTAGCATATTATTTAAATTATATTACTTTGACAGTGCTGTATGATTCAGTACTAATGTGTCTATCTTAATGTTCATATGACAATGACTCATCACACACTGATAGCTTATAATGCTCAGGATGTTTTCCACAATTTGAACATAAACATTGTGCTAGATAATATAAATTTTCTCTTTCTAAAGGCCATATTCTTCATCTACTAGATCCTTAAAAGTGTGCTGGTCTTCTTTTTCCTTTTTGTATTACATGACAACAATTGCAAATAAAAGTTCCTAATTAAATAATATTGCTTTAATCTTTGTGTAAATCTTTGGCTCTGTCTGCAGGAGGCAATTGTTTCATTGTATGACAGTTTTATAGGGTCATTGTAATTACGCTGAAGTTTGAAATTAATATAATCCCAATATTCATTACAAATATCTTATTTGTTAATTTTTAAAATATGCCTATATATACACATAAACCCCATCCATATCACGTATTTGGAACACAAACAATTTTGTATCCAACACTTTAATCAATATATTTCACGTGATCTACTCTGTGAAAGTGTGATCGGATGTGTGATGGTGGAAAAGTCATTCACTTTATATTTCATATGATAATTATATAAATTAGTGGATTATGGGTTGTGTTTGCCTTATTTAAGATAAATTTTTAATGAAAGTTCCTAAAGAATTGTTGAGTTTGAAAAGTTGTGCTTCTCTTAAAACAACTTTATAACAAATTATAACAAGTTTTCAAATTAATTTCTAAAAAGGTTGAATTGGTTAACACTATCATTGGTAATAAAATTTTTATTTCAGCATTTACAAAAAAACCCAGATAAGAATAAATATTTATGGGGTGTCTCATTTCTTACTGCTCTTCCAGCTACTTTTCATGTTTGTTTGTTCATTCATTTATTCATCTGTCTTAGCCCATTTGGACTGCTCTAACAAAATACCACTACTGTGATTTGTGTTATAGTTTCTTTCTAATTTGGTCTTGAAGTCTGTCTTCTGAGAGTGGTATCTACTCTCTAGGAGAGCCCTGACACAGTGGAAAGTTAGGTTTGGTGTGTCTTCCAGGAGAGACACAATGAGCAAGTGAAACCAAGCTGCATGAAATAGAAGAAATTTATTATTCCTAGGTCCACGAGATGTTAGGAGTGCGAATAGGGGACTGATGGAAAGTCTAAAGGTGGAAAGAAGCTCAACCAGCAGGTGGGCACAGAGAGAAAGAACCTGTGGGACTAAGGCTTCATTAAGGTCTACGGACACCATCCCTTAGGCTTTCCTATGGGGGTTACAGGTTGGCTAGTTTAAAGAAAACACATTCAGGGAACTTACTTGCAAGCCTCTGGTGTTGACCACTAGGCTACATGGTGGTCAGCAGTTGTGGAATATGTTAGCTTTTGGACCAGTGAGATGAGAAACAAGAGGGCCATATTTCAAGCAACCACATGAGGAGTTCAAGTTTCAACTAGGCCAAAGACGATGGCTTACAACTAGATTCAAACAACTTATGTCAGGTCTTAAATGGAAGCTATGACAGCAACTGAATTAAACAAATTTATGACAACCATAAACTGGAAAGCTTGTAAACAACAGAAATTTCTCACAGTGTTGGTGGCTGGGAAGTCAAGATCATGGTGCCAGTAGATTTATGTCTGGTGAAGACCATTTCCTGGTTCAGAGATGGCACCTTCTCCCTACATCCTCACATGGAACAAGGAAGGAACAAGGAAGCTTGTTAGGGCTTCTTTTGTAAGGGCATTAATCCAATTCATGAGCACTCGGCCCTTATGAACTACTCACCTTCCAATGGCTCACCCTCCAAATAGCAACACATTAGTGATTAAGTTTCAACACATACATTTTGAGTAGACAACAAACATCAGTCCATAAGCACCAACTTCTTACCATAATCCCAGAAGAAAGGATTTTTATACTCAGGTTTTGCAAAAAAGGCTCAGCCATGCTAAGAATTTACTAAAGATCACATAGCAATAGAAAGATCCAGAGATCAAATCCAAATTGTCAGATACCAAAACCTATGTTGTCCTTTCTAGTCTACCTGACAATTATTATTTCTCTAGAAAGTTAAATTATTTTTGCTGATTTAATAAGCAAATTAACATTTATTTTTAGTTTCTTTGATATTACAAGGTTGAAAATTTTTTCCTGTTAACTATTTCTTCACATGACAGTTATCATGTGCTTTAGTAATTGTTACTATTGTGATCTGTATGTTTTTCTTACTAACTTACAGAATATATAGATCAAGACATAGACATAAATATTAGTTTTTTGTATTGTACGAAGTAAATTTATATTTTCATTGTTTTAAACTTGTTTATAAGAGTTAAAATTTAGATGAATATAATATATTGCATTTTACTTTTTTATTTATTGATGTGAACCAATGGAGGACATTAAAAATAGGACCAATGGTAACCTTAAGAAATATGAGAAGACTCCTTTTGTGTACAACAGTCTTGTTTTGACTGTAACTATATTACATTATGAGTTGCAGGGCCTATCGATGGAAAAATCTAGATTAATTAGTAATTGCTTAGAATGCAAACTAGCTTTTTATTAAAGAGCATTTTAATTTGAAATAAATGTTCTTATGGGATGTCTTAGCTTCTCTAATCTTAAAATGCAGAACATTCAGAAATTATATGCCCATATTTTCTGTTAATATTTTGCTTTTGTTTTAACCAGTTGAATGTACAGTTCCCTAATAAATGCTATTATATGACTGGGCTTGTTTTATCTTTATCATTTTGTTTTGTCACTCTAATTTAGTCAATGGAGCTGTGTTTTACTCTTCTTGATGAGTCATGTTTTCTTTATGCATTTATTAATAAGCTTTATAAGATTACTTTCACTCCCATTCATGTCTCTGATTAGTTGCCTGAATGTCTTTTGATGAATAGAAACAGTCATTGGGAGAATTTTCTAGAAATTAGCTTATTAGTTTCCAATAAAGGACTACAAGTACAAATGAACAAAATATTACATAAAACTGTATTAGTGATGAAAATATCAATAACTTCTAATAAGACACAAATACAGAAATTTAAGGGCTATTTTTTCTACTATTGCTATGACTACCAGCTGCTATTTACTAAGCCCTTACTAACTGCCATCCACTGGTTAAATACTCCACCATTATTTTATAATTTAGATTTCACAATTCTTACATAAATATAATGATTAAAATGGGGATTTTTTACGTATTATGAAAGGGTTAGGTATTTGATGCAGGTCATATAGCTATTGAGTAGGTAGACTATTGTCAAGAGGGAGAAAGGCAGGCAGTGAAAGTATCTGGCTTTGATGTTGATTTTGTCTCTATTAACCAGGTAGGTGGGAAGAAACAGAAAGAGATGGGTCAAAATAAATGTGCCTCTAGGATGGCAGGGACAAACGTTAATACCCCAAAATGAATTTTCATCAGTTTAACCTTGCCAATAACCCCTTATTCACATTTAATTGTGATTTTGTTTGCTGAATACAAGAGAATTTAGTAGGGAAAAAAGTGAGTGGTGGAAGGAACAAGGAAGCTTGTTAGGGCTTCTTTTGTAAGGGCATTAATCCAATTCATGAGCACTCTGCCCTTATGAACTACTCACCTTCCAATGGCTCACTGGATTTAGTAGGGAAAACCTTGTGAGTGAGCAGAATTTGACCTTTGGACGTCTGAAAGAGAAGAGAGTGTAAAAGCCTGAATAGAGGAAGTAGGAGAGGGACTCAGAAAGAGGGACAGTCACGAGAGAAACTTGACAATTTAGCTAACTTGCCAAAGTAACAGCTCTTGCACTGTGGAGAGGTCTGGAAATGAGCTAGTCTTGGCACTTACCCAGGTCTCTTTCTCCAAGTTATTCCATACCAGTTACTCCAATTCTTTCCGTGTCCTGCCATCCAGTTTTCATGCACACCCTGTGAAGAAACAAGGAAAGGAAAGAAAAGCAGCACAGAAAGGGAGAAGAGATTAAGTCATGTCCCTTACAATTAATTTCCTCCCTCTGTGTGATGGTACCTAGGCGTGCAGCAGAGGTGGGGCTGCTCAGGTCTCCCTGGGGTCCGCCCTCCACTCCTGCTACTGGTTGCACTCCACATTTTTATTTTAAAGTGCTATAAAACCACTTTCTGCTTATTTTGGTTAAGTGAGTAAGTTTTATATTTTATTGCTCTATAATTATATATATGTATATGTATACATTTTTCTTTTGCCTTGTCAAGATGTAGCTACATCTTCATTTTCCACCTAATCAAGGAAAGAACCACTTGTTATCATGGGCTATGCCTGGGGGGGGGGGAACAATGAGTACCTTTACATTTTTATTTTATTTTATTTCTTGAGACAGAGTCTCGCTTTGTTGCCCAGGCTAGAGTGAGTGCCCTGGCGTCAGCCTAGCTCACAGCAACCTCAATCTCCTGAGTTCAAGCGATCCTGCTGCCTCAGCCTCTCAAGTAGCTGGGACTACAGGCATGCGCAACCATGCCCGGCTAATTTTTTTTTCTATATATATTAGTTGGCCAATTGATTTCTTTCTATTTATTTATAGTAGAAACGGGGTCTCGCTCTTGCTCAGGCTGGTTTCGAACTCCTGACCTTGAGCCATCTGCCCGCCTCGGCCTCCCAGAGGGCTAGGATTACAGGCGTGGGTGAGCCACCACCCCAGCCTTCCTTTAAATTTTTAAATCAGAAGTATCCAGCAGTATCTGTGTTTGAGACTGTCTAAAGGGTGAAAAATCCAGTCTATTAGAAAAATTATAGCATTATCCAGAATACAATAAAATTAATGAAATAGTAGAGTCAGAAACTGGGCATTTAAATATGTGTTTGGAAGCACCGCATATACTCCCCAGCAAATTGGTATTAACTGATCAACACCTAAGTGGACATGGGTGTCAGGCAGGTAGGGGGGAGGGGATGGGTATATATATACATACATAAGAATGCAACGCGCACCAACTGGGGGATGGACACGCTTGAAGCTCTGACTCGAGGGGTGTGGGGAGGCAACAGCAATATACGTAACCTTAACATTTGTACCCCTACAATATGCTGGGAAAAAAATTTAAAAATATGTCTTTGGCTGGCTGTCTATTAAATTATTTTCTTTACTCTCCCCCCACTACCATTATTTTTTAACCATAATAAGGCCACTAAAATATTTAGGTGCATTATTCAACTATATGTAGCTGTACGGATACTAGTAATATAAATTCAGAAAATACAATGAAAACAAACTAAACTTTTGCATTCTAAAGTAAAATTTAATCATGTTACTAATTTAGAGCTTGATAGGAGGTGATATCTTATTGATATCCATATTTTCTAATAGAACAGGATTATACAAAGATATGAATTGAAGTAAAGGTTAAAATTTTTTATCAAAATAGTTAACATACTTACCCTTTCCGTGTTCTTGTAATGTTCTAAATCAGGGTGATGGCTACAAAGATGTTTCTTTTTCTTGTAATTTATTGAGTTATATATGTAGTTTTATGCACTTATATATGTGTATCATATTTTATTTAAAATGTCAAAAAAGAAAAAAAAAGTGTAGAAATAAAAATTGATTCCAAAGGTATTTCTGCCAATTTTTACATAAATTATAGTAAAATGAAATGGTGAATAGTATAATAAATATGAATGGGAAATAAAAAAATAAAATTGCCATAATTTGTAAATATTATGATTTTTCACTGAGAAAATTAAAAACAATATATGGATACATTACTAGAGATAGGAACTTTTAACAAATTTGCTAAGTAAGGAAATAAAAATTTGGTTTAAACCTTTTATAAGTGACTCTACTGGCATGTCACAGTGTTCCTAGGTAACAACTTTACAATGCATTCTTCTTGACATCAGGAACATTGATTTTGCATTTGCTTTTGCTTTTTCTCACTTATTTATCCCATAGCTGAAAACAGTACCTAGAACACAATATGCACTCAAACGTATATATTGTACATAGTGAAATGTATGAATGAACCATATTATCAACAAAAGGAGAGGACACTTTTCCCAATTTTTATGCTAGGAGAGTGCGTATGCAGCTACTATAATAAATGCTCATAACAAAAATTTTAAGTAGGTTTTTAGAACACAGCACTGATTTTTACTGTTTGAGACTGAAAAATGGCTCATTAAGGGCCCATTTTTATTCACCCTGATTCTCACTCAATAGTATCTTAACAATTTAAAGTGGCTTTAATAGATTGGCATCCAAGTTGAGGTCTTACATATTCTTAACTGTTTCCTTGGCAGAGCGAAACAAAGGCTAGTGAGAGCCAATAGTGAAGTACTGTGGTGGATTCACAATGCAGCTTCCTTTGTGCAGAAATTGCATTGAGTTTGGTAGACCACTTGTGAAATTATTTTCCCTTCTATCCACATTATTTTTAGTCTGCAATATTATTCCCCTAACAGCCAGCCATCTTTAGGAGGCATTGGTTGTGTTTGTTTAAGTTCTCTGAGGCAGACTAGATTTGCAGATAACTCAATTGCCTTCATGCAAATTCTAGGTAATTTCTACCAGATAACAAATCACTTCTTATCCCCTGCAAACCATTACAATGCTATTCTAAAGTTGTTATTCTAGAGTTCTCTCTGTCCTTGTATTACATACAGCCAAAACAAACAACATTCAAAACTCTGACAGTGTAGAACAAGGGTAAAAATTCAAAAATTGTAGGTCAGGAGAATCTACTGTCCCTAACTGAAAAATATTTTATTTTGTAGTTCTTACAATATTTAAAAAGTCATGTTGTATAAAAGAAAGAGCTGCTGGTATAATCTTGTTTCTGCTGATACCAGGTCAATAATTTTCATTATAATAATAAATTTGAAGGTGATCCCTTTTGGTCCATCTTCATTAACAGAACACAGAGGACTGATTATGTAGTAAAAGACATGGTGTCTCCTCTTGGGAATTGATCACTTGACTCCTCTCTTTTGCCAGTTAGCTACAAAGAAAGCAAATTGACTTTGAAACCTGGGGAAGAGCAGGGCCAATGATTTAATTCTTATTAATGATACAATAACCTGAGCTTGTGTTAGACAGTTCCATCTAAATCTTCACGCTTCATTTGTTCACTCCCAGAGAAATCTGCTGATTCAAGTACGACCCTAGGAAATGCCCTGTGCTGTGAAAGTCAGTGATGGCTTCTTTTTCGGGCTTGGAGGGAAAGCAGCATGGAAGCAGAGCTCAGACGCAGCATCAAGATCTAGTGTGAGTTGTGGATTTGGCTAAAAGTACACAATTAAGGGTTTAATGGCCAACTTTGGGAAAAGGTTTTCAGAGCTTGTAAGACTAGAATATGCTCAAGCATAATATGTACCAAAAAGGTTTTATTTCCTCAGTATTTTATTGGACTCTCAACTGGAACTCTCAAAAGTAAAAAACAATTGGATTCCTATTTTCATTTACACATGTCAGAGATGTTTAGTCACTAGGGGCCAACATTCAGAGATTGCTGCTATAATAATTTTGTATTTTTCTGAAAACAAAGAATTATTCAATATAAATACCTGATGAAGCAAAATTACAAAACACAGAAAATAAAATATAGATAATTCATTCAAAACCTTTTATTAATAGATCTTCCAAAAGTCACATTTTGGCAGGTTTCCATTCTATGTGTTGAGGATGAGGAATAGGGCATGTATCCAGGAACAATAACATCGACTTTTTAAAATCAGTCGATTCAGAAGAATTTTATGTGTGAGGTGGGTAATTGCGGCTTAGTCCTGTAATGGGTAAATAAAAAAGTCATCATAAGATGATTTCCTTTGAAGTTTTACACAGAAGCATCTTTGGGAAGCAACTTTCGCACTAACTTCTGGGCTCTCTAGTGTGGCCATCTGCAGTGGTGATTCTACCAGCCACTCCTGTCACTGGCTGCATTGCTGGTCTACTTGATACTGCCACTTCTCAACGCTCAGAACAGTAGTTAGGATACATCTCTTGACCAGATGAAATACAATGTTAAAAGATTTCTTTTGTTGTCCAAGAAGGGTGTATGTTTATAAATTAAATTTTTAAGCAATGCCTTTTGCCTTCGCACGTGGTAGGTAACTATGATTGCGCTAGTCCCTGTTTCAAAAGCTAAAGCTACAGCAGTAAACACAACAGGTTTTTCAGGATTGCAACTCTTTCAAAAATGTATAAAAGTTTCGTCTGGCTTTTAATATTCAGAGAAGACTGAGCCTGTGGCCTGGGATTTACTCCTCTGAGTCCAAATACTCCCTGAATATTTCTACATTCTTATCATTCGAATATCTGATCAGAAAGTGGGTCTGTTTTCATTAATGTTGTGTGAATTCTCTTTAAGTTAATGTAAACAGGTATAGTTTTTTCAGGAGAGTGAATTTGTCTTAAATTATGTACTTGATTATAGTTTCTGTTTCAAGTTTTCTAACTCAATTCTTTAGAAACACCTGTAATTCGTAAATCAAATCACTCTCTTCTTTCTCCCACAGCTATCGTCTTCTCTTTAGTAGCTTTCATGTTTTGTACTCTTAACTTTTTTCCTGTATTCTGGATGGCTTCTAAAATCCTTTGGAGTGTTCATTTTGCTCTTTACTAATTCCAGTCTGGATTCAATTACATATTTAGGTTAGGTTCCCTTCAATTTTTCCTTTTCAAACATATATTCTTTGACTCTCTCTCTCTCTTCTTTTTTAGCATCTGCCAACCAGTCTGTAAAAATCGATTTCATCTTCTGTAACATGTCATTTAAGAGGTCTGCTTCCCTTCAAGGGTGTTGTACAATATTCTCTTTATCTTGTTTTATAATAATTGCTGTAGGTGTAAACATTTTGGTTGATTGTTTTCCCATATTCAGATATGGTGTTTTCCAATAAAGTAATGAGTCATCTTTGGACTTCCCTACTCTCTTTTTGTTGGAAACTTGTCACATCT